AACCTGTTTGATTAAATATCCTGTATATATGTTAAGGGTATGAATATAGTACTGAAGTGATAAGTTCAATGATTCTAGTTACCAGTCATGACTGCTCAAGTAGCTCCCGCTTTATTCATAGCTAGGCATTTCTTCATCTTAATTTACAACCTCCTCTCATTCTTGTATAACCACAACCTGGCCTGACCTACTGCAGAATCTTCATTAACTTATCTTCTAATCCCCTTTTGTTCAGTGTACATTAAATGAGCACATCACTTCCATACTTAAAACATTCAGTGGCATCCCATTATTCTTAGAACTCCCACATCCTCACTACCCACATGGTCTTGCCAACTCTTTCCGCTTCATCTCTTGACAGGTTCTTCCCACTCTCTCCGCTACACACACACACAAGTTCTTCCTCACATGGGCTGAGTTGGTTTTCACCATGGAAAATTCCCCCATGCTTCTCTAATGCCTAAGCGGCATTTTCTTTCTCTCTACATCTAAGTAACTCCTATTGCCGTTCAGTTTGTTGTATTTGTCTCCTCCTCAGGACCTTAGCAGTTAGGTTCCCATAACTTCTTGCTCTCATAACCTTCTTTACTTCTGCATAGTAGCAGTTATCACAGTAATATTTTATTATTATTTTTTTTATCCTCACCTGAGGATATTTTTTTCATTTTTTATTCAGGTAGAGTGGGAGGGAGACAGAGGAAGAGAGAGAGAGAGAGAGAGAGAGAGAGATCGACGTGAAAGGGACACATCAACTGGTTGCCACCTGCACAACCAACCAGGGCCGGGGACAAACTGCAACCGAGGTACATGCCCTTAGCGGGAACCGAACCCGGGTCTCTCTGGACCGCAGGCTGACACTTTAACTGCTGAGCCAAACTGGCCAGGGCCTTTTCTTTTCTTTTTATTATTATTATTATTTATTATTATTTTCCACAGTAATATTTTAAAAGCTAGTGATATAATTGGTAGTTTATTGGCAATTCTTTCCTCTCAATCATAAGCTCCATGAGGACAAGAACCATCATTTCAAGGAAAGTTTTCAATTATTATGCACTGAATGAATACAGAGATGAATAAGTGATAAGAAAAATGTTATGTTTTGAAAGTATGTTTAGATGTTGGGTGTGGAAACAAGATTATCTGCCTCTATTCATTAATTTAGCCGAAGCTCAAAAGTTTCACTGGGGCAAAATCTACAAGGTCTTACTATTCAAGAAAATCTTCAGAGAATAGGTGATTTAAAATGGGAAGTGCTTTAAAACAAGCATGTGATAACTATTGTACATTGTAAGATAGAAAAAAAACAGAGGCTGGTAAATATTTATATACCTATTAAAACACAATTGAAGCTAAGTATATATTTCTCTGACTATTAATCTAATGAATTCAAGTGTCTTTTTAAGGGTTTACTATAAAAGGACATAATTCTCTCCAATATTGAAGAAATTGTTACAGCATTCCCAAGGACTATTGACTTGTAACTCTGAAATTATAATGTATATTATGGTAAACTACATTTATTTAAACACCTTTTTAAAAATTTTCTCCAAAATAAACTTTTGTTTATTCTCCTTTGTATTTGAAAAGTGATACTGCTAATGTATTAAATTTACTTCTTTTTTATTGTTGAAAGTATTACAGATGTCCCTTTTCTCCCCATTGACCCCCTCCTCCTTGTTTCCACTCCACCTCTACCTTCCCCAACATAATGTCTGTGTTGATTGGTTGTGCATATATGCATATAAGTTTTTTGGTTTATCTCTTCCCACCCTTCTCACCCACCATCCCTCTGAGGTTTGTTAGTCTGTTCCCTATTTTCATGACTCTGGATCTATTTTGATAGCCACCTTATTTTGTTCATTATATTACATAAACTGTGAGATCATGTGGTACTTGTCTTTCTCTGACTGGCTTATATTGCATAGCATAATACTCTCCAGGTCCCTCCATGTTGCCTCAAAGGGTAAGAGATCTTTCTTTCTGACAGCTGCATAGTATTCCATTGTGTAAATATACCACAGTTTTTTATCCACTCATCTACTGACGGGTACTTGGGCTGTTTCCAGATCTTAGCGATTATAAATAGTGCTGCTATGAACATGGGGTACACATATTCTTTCTGATTGGTGTTTCAGGCTTCTTAGGATATATTCCTAGAAGTGGAATCACTGGTCAAATGGCAATTCCACTTTTAATTTTTTGAGGAAACACTATATTGTTTTCCATAGTGGCTACTCTCGTCGGCATTCCCATCAGCAGTGTACTAGAGTACCCTTTTCTCCACATGCTCGCCAGCTTGTGTTGCTTGAGGATTTGTTGAGGGCTGCCATTCTGGAAGGTGTGAAGTGATATCTCATAGACATTTTAATTTGCGTCTCTCTTATGATTAGAGATATTGAGCATTTTTTCATATGTCTCCTGGCTACTTGTATGTCCTGTTTGGAGAAATGCCTGTTCAGGTTCTCTGCCCATCTTTTAATTGGATTATTTGTCTTCCTTTTGTTGACTTGTATGGGTACTCTCTATATTTTCATATTAACCCCTTATCCGATGTATCATTGGTAAATATGTTCTCCCAGAGAGTGGGTTTCCTTTCCATTTTGATGCTAGTTTCTTTTGCCATGAAGAAGCTTTTTTAGTTTGATATAGTCCCATTTATTAATTTTTTTCTTTGTTTCTCTGCCCTTGGCTGTGTATCAGTGAAAATTCTGCTACATATGATGTCTGAGATTTCTCTGCCTAGATTTTCTTCTAGGATTTTCATTGTTTCACGAGTTATATTTAATTCTTCTATCCATTTTGAGTTTATTCTTGTGTATGGTGTAAGTTGGTGGTCTAGCTTCACTTTTTTGCATGTGGCTGTCCAATTTTCCCATTTATTAAAGAGACTGTCTTTTTCCATTGTATGCTCTTGCCTCCTTTGTCAAATATTAATTGTGCATACTGTCTTGGGTCGATATCTCGGTTCTCTTTCTGTTCCATTGATCTATATGCTTATTCTTGTACCAGTACCAGGCTGTTTTTATTACGAAGGCTTTGTAGTATAACTTGATATTGTGATCCCTCCCACTTTGTTCTTCTTTTTCAAGATAGCTGTGGCTATTTGGGGCGCTTTTTTGGTTCTATATAAACTTTTGGAGTATTTTTAAACACCTTTTTTTAGAAATGTGCGGTTATCCTCTTAAACTTATAAGCTAAACTTGTCATAAGAATAATTTTATTCAACAATCAAATGGTAATTGATTTACACTGTGCTAAGTGACTTAGCACTTATCAACTCAATCCACATAAAAATATAGATTCTCTCCAAATTAGGAGCATAGCAAAGGCATGTTTCTTACTTGATAATATGACTTTTCCAATAAAATGCAGACTGAACAGATGAGCTTTAAGGCACAATACAGAATGTCAGTTTATCATGATTTTGTTCAACCTGATTCTGTCCCTCTCCCTTAGGTACTCATATAATAAATTTGAGTTACAGACAAAGAAGATATGTATAGTTTGAAAAATATACTCATGTGGTTTCTAGTTGCCTCACCTCCCCCCATCCCCTAGCTTATAAGAATATCTGTATTTTGTAATAATGGATCTTCTTAGGCTTGGTGCTTCTGAAACTAAATTTCACTTCTCCTTTCTTATGTTCATTATGACACACCATTCCCATAAAAGCTTCAATAATTTGGCAGAAATAAATGCGAAATCTCAGCTACATACAGTGCTTGCTTTTTAAAAATAGTATGTAATTTTAATGCAATTGGGAATTTCATCTCCCATTAAACACTCTTCAATTTATCAAATTTTGTTTCTCTCTGTGGAGCGTGGCTTCCTATGGAACATTTCCATATCTCATTCTCAAAACAAATAGACACAATATGTAGACATATTGGTTTTGCTATAGCAAAGAATGGTTATTGATGGGAACAACAATTGCCAATTTGTCAACAAGGTGAAAACCAGCAATTCAGAAAGTCAGAGATTTATTTTTACATGTGGAAAAAGAAAAAAAAGAGATCTGTTTTATGAGGGTGTGGACCAGCCATTTATTTTACATTAATAAGGTTTGCTGAGTAATCATTAAATGTGACTTGGACTTCTTACACCCAAGCTATTTTTCAGATCTCTATTGCAAAAATTATAATTAACTATATTTGAAAGATGATCTGGTTTCTGTTAGAGCAAGGTGGCCATCACTCTTGTGAACCTAAGGATCACTTTTACCTTATACACTGGAGATAGACTTTAGGAATTAGCTCAGCTGTGGACCAGGTCAAGTCATGGCTCTCTGACCTCTCTTCCGTGACCCACATGCAACAAATTCCTCAATTTGGAATTTGAGATCCTTACATGTATGTGGAGAGTAAATATAATAGATGTTTGTACTTCTCTTCTATATGCCAGTCCTAACTTTAAGATTTTTTTTTTTATATGTACCCAACAAAACCGTGCTGTGACTTTCCTCTGGTAACCTACTGGTTAAGGAAATACAGTTAACTAGATTGTCTATAGTACCCCAAGACTAAAACATGAAGAACTTTCTCTTTTAGCAAAATAAAGCAGAATTTGAAACTCCTGTCCTAATGGATTGGAATACTGTTTAAACTTAATTCAAGTCTTTCTTTATAAATTGTGTCTATAGGCTTTTAATACATTTATTATATAGAGCATGCCATATTATTTGTATTTTACAGCAAATATTGACTATTCAATTCCATTTTGCTATTTCTTGTTTTAGAAATCTGAATTTTAAAGATTTAAGGTGAGAATTATCTTCAGTGATTATTTTTTATATTTATTCACTTATTTATTTACCTTTTAACAAAACCATTCTGAGTACTATTATGCATCTGGTAATATACTAGGTATGAACACGAAGCTTAACAACATCTACCCCCGCCTCCCCATAAATACCGGTGCATAATTAGTGTTGCCATGTAACTGATGTTCAATATATATATATTTAATTAAGTTGAAATACACTTTAATCTTGATTTTCCTAGATGTACCTATAAAACGTGAATTTGAATATGAAATTCTATATGAATCTGAAGATGTGAAGTCTTACTTGCAGCCCTCTGTGGCCATATATTTGAGGAAGAAATCTTATGATATCAAGGCTCAAATGATAACATTGGGATTCAGTCTGATATTTTCACCAAAGAAACCATTGAGGTAAACCTGCTTTTACCCTTTTTTTCTTCAAACAATATTATTACTCTTTTAAACTAAATAATATTTATTTTTCTTTCCACTTTTCTGTATTTGGATTGCATTACTTATTTGATGCTGTTGAGGTAAATATTTTGGGCTAGACTATTTTTCTAGCTATTAAGTTATGAAAAGTGTCTGATGAGAAAAAACAGTAAAATAATTAGCAATCTAAGATATCCTTCCTGAATTGTGGCCTCCCTAAGGTCACTGGGGTATAATATTAAGAAAATAGAACAGTCTGCTTTGTAAAATTAAAAAGGTGAAAGGGAGTATGTCTAATCACAAATGCTGTACAACTGAAACTAGTCTAATAGTGTATTCCAACTATACTTAATAAAAATTTCAAATGAAAACAAAAGAAATACTGACTTGGCACTATACATTGACAGCATGATGTTTCTTGATACTTCTCATAACCAGTTCAGATGTTGAAAATTTGAAACTATATTCTTTCTACTTTGCAATTGCTGTCATTACCCTTTTACTACCTAAAACCATAACATTGCACATGCTTTAGTAATGTTTAAAGGATTACATTGGAATCTATTAGAATAGGAATTCTCATCCAGGGTCTTTATATTTATCTTTCAGACAACTGATACTTAGTACCTGCAAATACTATATGTTAGGTCACATCTGAAATAGGGCTTTGTTTATATCTTAATGCAGTGATACTGATAAGAACCACATTATGCACAATGTAGAAAATACAGCTGGCAATGAAAAAAACAATTGAAAGTATGACTGTGCCTTTAATCATTTCTATAGTTTAAATGTATATCTGATGTAGCCAGGCATGTATTTAAAGTGGTTTTGAATATGTAGTCCAATAACTAAAAGATACCAGGGTCATCTTCAGGAAGCAGTAATAAAATCAAGCTGTAAGAAGAGAGTACACTATAAACATTGACATCAACCTCTTTTATCTTCTCTTTCATTTTCATAGTTTTCTCTGTTTATTTGTTAGTATTTTTACATACTTAGCTTTGTAGTGTGTTAATTTAGTGATATGGAAATTACCGGCAACAATTAGAAGGGGAAATGTTATCATTAGTGAATATGAGCAGAACCAATGTGAATTTATATTCATTTAACATTTTGTAGATTTAAGCCTTCTTGGTGAATATTTGTGAAATTTACGTAGGATAACTTTTATGCATGATTCATAAATTTTTGTGAGTGTTGTATGATGTTTTGATGTAGTTTAATGATTCTATTTTGTGCATATATTTATAAATTCACTTACTTTTGTCATTCCTTCTTCCATATATATGGGATAGTTCACGGCAAGATAGACAGTTAAATGAGAAGATCTAAGTTAAAACCAATAGCTCTAAACTATAAAAACGAAGAACAAAAAGTAACTATACCCAAACCGTGCTTTACCTACATAATTAAAATAGGTATTAAATTCAATTTTTCTCTTCCTGGTTGGCAAGGTAAAAAGGAAGATACATTTTTCATGTTTTGGTAAAAGGAAAATATAACATAGTTTCACAATAGTAAATACAAGGTTATTTTAAGCATCCATACTTTCATAGCATAGTGTTGTACGTAAAGAAAATAATGGTCAGGACCCTAAATGGTGGTTTACAAAGAAAAAAAAAAACAGGAATATTATTCCTAAGGATTTTGACTTTTAAAAAAAATAAAAATCAAGGATTCAATACACATACTTAAGAGATCAATAGTTAATATTGTCATGAATCTGACTAATGATTCTAATTTAACACAGGTCTAAACTTTTTTTAAAAAATAGAGAAATTATAGACGTCACTTGTATTGGGCATCTTTAGAAACAGTAATTATCTTAGCTCAACTTTCTCCTGGAAATTTTCACCTGCTCAACAGATGACTAGAGTGAGAATCCAAAGTTCAATTTTACAGAGTTTGAGGGATATGACTTGTAATAAGAAATATCACTTATGTACATTATTAGGAATCCACAGTATTGACCATAAAATGGTTCATATGGTCATCCCTGAAACTGAATGGTCTTCCTTGCTACAGGCCCAAAAGTTTGACTTGGTGGCTTTCCACTAACTCAGAGAATTACCCAGCTGAATGAAATTAGTCAAAATTGTTCCTTTGAACATGTTCATTTATTTATTCAAAAATCATTTAGCATCTACAAAAGAGACAAAAATCTCTACACCTCTGGATTATATAGCATAGTGAGTATAATAGATAAGAGAGAATTAAGTGTATAAGTAAATAATAACATTTCAGGTTGTCCTGAGAAGGAAATACATAAGGGGAAATATAGAGCTATGAAGAATGTACATCAGATAAGTGAACAGTTAAGAATCTTTGAAGAGGTGATGTCTGAACAAATACCTTATAGATAAGAAGATCTTGGAAGAGTATTTGAGACAGAAAATAAGGCATGAGAACTTTTGGCATGAACACAATAGTAATGAAGCCAGTGTTTCTCTAATTCAGTAAGCAAAGGAGAAAGTAAGGTTGTCGAGTTTGGCCAGGATTTGATTACATATCATCTTGAGGCTATGAATTTGTCTTTTATGCTAGAAACAATTGGAAATGACTGAAAGATAAATTTGGGGGGACTGATTTAAGACAACTTGTGCACATGATTCATAAAATTCTGTAAGTGCTGGGTGATGACCTGTTGTCATTTAACATTTCTATTTTTGTGAATATATGTGCGTATTTATTTACTTCTGCCATTACATGTTCCAAATGAATTCAAGGTGATTCAAAGGTAGATACAGAGTGAAATGATAAAAAACAAAATAAAACAATAGCTAAAAATTATAGAAGTCCTCTCCTCCTTAGAAGATGGCAAGAGTAGAAGTGGGAAGAACAGTTACTGAAATTGTGCTGAGAGGAATATAGTTGCTTTCTTCTGTTTTTTTTTTTTTTTTTTTTTTTTAATTATTTAAGAGAGACTAAGGGAGAGGGAGAGAGATAGATGGATGCATCGATTAGAAAGATAGAGAGAGAAAGACATCAATTGGCTGCCTTCTGTAGCTCCCTATTAGGGATTGAGCCCCAGCCGGGCATGTGCCCTGGTTGGGAATTGAACCAGCAACCTCCTAGTCCCCGGATATATAGTTTCATTTACTAAGACAGGAGAGTGTGAGAGAGGTATAGATATAGGGTTTACATTTTGCATATATGTTTAATAAGATATCAGTCATCATGGGCTAAGTCCACTGTTTCAATGCAATGCACTTTATTGTTACCAGCACTCTATTGAAGGGCTATTTTTAAAATATTTGGCACCAGTTATTATTTTTTTATAGTATCAATAATGTAGCAGTGAACATGCTCATACATTTCACTTCTTGAAATCTTTGATGCATACCTTTGGGGAAATTACTAAGAGTGAAATTGCTGGTTTAGTGTGTACAGCTTCAAAATTTGGTATGCTATTGTCCAATTGCTTATTAAATGGTTGAATAATTTTAGACTCCTATATAAAGAGAGTTTCCAGAACTGTTCTTCCTGACAGTTTTACATAAGAGAGTTGTGATTACTTTGTCCAATCTGACATGTGATGTTGCAACTACATCATCACATGTTTGAGTCATTTTCACTCTAAGCAAACAAACAGGTAACCAACCAATCCTCAACTGCAGCTACTACTCTGTCTCCACTCTTCTTCATAGCCAAAGACTTAGAAGGGCTATCTCTAGTCTCTTCATTAATTCAACTGCCACTCAAGTATATATTATTGTGTAAGGTATTTGTGGTCTTTATCAATTACAATATAATTTTTTAAAGCTTCAATTTATGTCAGTTTTATGGGGCTTTGTTAAGTGTTCACAGAAAATGTAATTTTTCTATGTGAAGCAAGGGTTGAACTTTTTTTTTTCACAGTGTTTCATTTTGAAACAAAAATTACCTTATGTATCATCTATTAGCATAGCACTTGGGACCATTTGCTAACCTCTCCTGTGCTGGTTACAGAAAATGTTCATAGTCAAATCTACATATGTTATTGGTTTTTAGTAAATAACTACAGAGTAGATAAGATATGCTACAATATAATTACCTCAAAAGAAGAATGATAATATACCGTGTGACCTAAATATTATAAATGCAATTAACAGTCATCTACATTTTTTAAGAAGAATCCCAGTGTTTTTACTGAAACCACAATGTTTGCTTAGATTTTCACCTTGGATGTTGATCTGCTATGTTGTATTCTCTTTGCTTGTTTTTCTGTAGTATCCTTTATAATCTTTTTCTATTCAAGGTCTCAAATTATACTGAAAATAGAGTGCATAACAGATGGGATCTGGAACTTTCCCATAACATTAATTGCTACTGAGCCTGATGTGGATGACGTCATTAATATTAAAGGGAGTTGTTTATTTAAGGAATCTGTTACTGACTTCTGGCTGACGAGTCGGAAAAGGTAATATATTATCAAGCAAGAGTATGTCACTGGTTTTGGGAATGTAATTTATGCTGAACTGGGAAACACTTTTTCAAATGGAAAAATTCTGTGATGTCATCTTTTGCTGGTTAAGCCAGAGCTGTATTGCTCATATGAATCAAAACTTTATATATTTCATAATTTTTATTTAAAAATTTAGAAATAGGGTCTACAAGGTGTTTTTCAAAGAGAAGTGGAATGTTTTTTAGTACATTTTAATGGTTTGGGATTATTAAATGGTTTAACTGAATAGAGATGATTGGGTAACTTATATTTATTCATTTTTCTGTATTAGTATTCTCCTTATCCATAGCTATCTCTGTTATACTTGTGTGATAACATAGGCACCATGACCACAATATTTATATGTATCTCATATGTGAAATATGTTTTTACAGCTTTTTTGAGCTATAATTTATATGCCATAAAACTCACCCACTGTAAGTGTACCTTTCAGTAAGTTTTTTTAAAAGTTATAGAATTTTCTAACATAACCACATTCCAGGTTTATTACTCTCCCTTTTCCCCCTCCAAAATTTCCCTCAAGCCCCTTTGCAATAACCCCCATTTCTGTGCACAATCTCAGGAAAACAGTGATTTGTGCTCTGTCTATATAACATTGCCCTCTCTGGACATTTCATATAAATAAAATCACCCAATATGTCTTTTTCAAAACGTTTTAAAAAGCAATTTTAGGGTTACAACAAAATAAACAGGAAGGTACAGAGATTTTTCTGATGCCCTCTATCCCACACATGCATAGATAGCCTCCTCCATTATCAACATCACTCACCAGAATGGTACATTTTTTAACAAGGATGAACCAACACTTACACATAAAAATCACTGAAAGTCCATAATTTACCATCGGGTCCACTCTTGATGTTGAACATTCCATGGTTTTCACAAAAACATAATGACATATTTCTGATGATATCATATAGAGTATTCTCACTGCCTTAAAAACCCTCTTTGTTCTCCCTATTCAACTTTTTCCCACCCCCAGCAACCACTAATCTTTCTATTTTTTCCATGCATTAGCCTTTTTCAGAATGTCATATAATTGGAATCATGTAGTATATAGACTTTTCAGATTTGCTTCTTTTATTTAGTAATATGCATTTGAGGTTTATCCACATCTTGATAGTTCATTTATTTTTAGCATTGAATAACATTTTACTGTCTGGATTACCACAGTGTATTTATCCACTCACCGACTAAAGGACATCTTGGGTGCTTCCAAATTTGGGGCAATTATGAAAAAAAAATTGATACAAGCATCTGGGTACAGGTTTTAGTGTGGATATAAAGTTTGCAACTCTTTTGGGTAAATACCAAGCAGCGCAATTGCTGGATCCTATGGTAACAGTGTATTTAGTTTTGTAAGAAATCACCAAATTGTCTTGCAAAGTGGTTATACCATTTTGCACTCCCACCAACAGTGAATGAGTGTTGCTGTTACTCCATATACTCACAAGCATTTGATGAGGCCAGTGTTCTGAATTTTGGCCACTCTAATAGAAGTATAGTGGTATCTCATTTAGTTTCAGTTTACATTTTTCTGATGACATATGATGGATGCATCTTTTCAAATGCTTAGTTGCTGTCTGCATATCTTCTTTGCTGATGTACCTGATAAGGTCCTTGGCTCATTTTAAAAATGGACTGTTTGCATCTCTCTGATGATTAGTGATTTTTAAAAAATATATGCTTTATTGATTTTTTAGAGAGAGTTAGAAACATCAATGTGAGAGAGGAACATCAATCAGCTGTCTCCTGCACGCCCCCTACTGGGGATTTAGCCCAAAACCTGGGCATCTACTCTGACAGAAATCGAACCAGGACCTCTCAGTCCATGGGACAACACTCATTCCACTGAGCAACACTGTCCGGGTGAATAGTGATGTTGAGCACTTTTTAAATATATCTCTTGGCTATTTGTATGTCCTGTTTGAAGAAGTGTCTATTCAGGATCTCTGTCCATTTTTTAATTGAATTGTTTGTTTTTGTTGAATTGTATGAGTACTCTATATATTTTGGATATTAACCTCTTATCTGATGTATCATTGGCAAATATATTCTCCCATACAGTGAGCTCCTTTTTCATTTTGATGCTGATTTCTTTTGCCGTGAAGAAGCTTTTTAGTTTGATGTAGATCTAGAGAGTATTATGCTGAGCGAAAGAAACCAGTCAAAGAAAGATTAGTACCACATGATCTCACTTATTTGTGGAATATCATGAACAAAATAAGCTGTTGATCAAAATAGATCCAGAGACGTGGAAGTAGGGAACAGACTGACAGACCTCAGAGGGAAGAAGGGTGGGGTGGGGGGTTGGGAAGAGATAAACCAAAGAATGTATATGCATTATATGCATAACCAATAGATACAGACAATAGTTTGGGGAGAGCAGGAGAGGGATTGAAGCAGGAGGAGCAGGTCATTGGGAGAAAAAAAGGTGGGAGGACATCTGTAATACTTTCAACAATAAAGATAAAAAATTAAATAAAATGGGCTGTTTTCTCATTGTTGAGTTTTAAGAGTTCTTTGTATATTTTGGATAACAGTCCTTTAGTAGATGTGTCCTTTGTAAATATTTTCTCCCAGTCTGTGGGTATCTTCTAATTTCCTTGATTGTGTCTTTCACAGAGTAGAACTTTTTTAATTAACTTCAGTTTGTTGATTATATCTTTCATGAATTGTGTTTTTGCTGTTGTATCTAATAAGACATCACTATACCCAAGGTAATCTTGATTTTTTCTTATAACTTCTAGGAGTTTTATAGTTTTGTGTTTTACATTTAGGCTTACTATCAATTTTGACTTAGTTTATGAGAAGAGTATAAGGTCTGTGTCTAGATTAATGTTTTTTTGCATGTGGATGCCCAGTTATTCCATCACCATTTGTTGAAGAGACTATCTTTGCTCCCCTGTATGGTCTTTGCTCTTTGTCAAAGATCAGTTGACTTTATTTATGACTATTTCTGGAGTCTCTTAAGTTCCACGATCTATTTATTTATTCGTTTACCAATACCACACTGTCTTAATTACTGTAACTTTACAGTAAGTATTAAAGTCAAGGACTGTCAGTCCTTCAACTTTGGTCTTTAATATTGAGCTGGCTATTCTGAGTCTTTCAACTCTCCATGTGAACTTTAGAATCTACTGGTTTATATCCATAAAAGAACTTACTGGGATTTTGATTGAAATTGAATAGAATCTATAGATCAAATTGGGAAGACTGACATATTGACAACATTGAGTCTTCCTATCTATGAATATGGACTATCTCCATTTATTTACTTCTTATGTGATTTCATTCACCAGAATTTTGTAGTTTTCCTGATGTCGATCTTGTACATATTGCTAGATATGTACCTAAGTATTTCATTTTGGGGAGATGCTAATGTAAATTGTCTTGTGTTAATTCAAAATTCTACTTGTTCATCTTTGGTAAATAGCAAAGCAATTGACTTTTGTCTGTCACAATCTGTGCTAAAATTTACCGGTGAACCTATCTGGACCTCCTTTTTTCTCTTTCGGAAGGTTATTGGTTGCTGATTCAATTTCTTTAATAGATAAAGACCTCTTCACATCATTTGTTTCTTCTTATATGGGTTTTAGAAGTTTGGGTCTTTCAAGAAATTGGTCAGTTTCATCTAGGATATCACATTTACTTGCATATAGTTGTTCAGAGTACTTCTTTATTATCCTTTAAATTTCCATGAGATTTGTGGTGATGTCCCTTCTTCATTTTTTTTTTTTTACTTTTTTTCCGTTCATTGATTTTAGAGAGAGAGGAAGGAAAAGGGAGAGAGAGATAGAAACATTGATAAGAGAGAACATCGATTGACCACTCCTGCATGTCCCCCACTGGGGTTTGGGACCACAACCTAGGCATGTGCCCTGACCGGAAATCGAACTGTCAACCTCTTGGTGCATGAGTCAATACACAACCACTGAGCCACAACAGCCAGGTCTCCTTTCATAACTTTTTTTTTAAATTTATGTATTTTTTATTAATTAATTTTTTTACAGATGATTCTCCCTTTTCCCCCACTGATTCCCCCTCCCCCTCCCTCCCTACCCAGTCACCAGTTTGTTGTCCATGTCCACTGTTCATGCGTACATGCATATAAGTTCTGTGGTTTATCTCTCCCCAACCAGCCCCTCTTCTGGGGATTGTCAGTCTGAACCCCACCTCCACGTCTCTGGGACTACCCCATTCCTCAGACTGTTATGTTCATTATATTCCACAAATAAATGAGAACAGATGATACTTGTCTTTCTCTGTTTGGCTTGTTTCACTTAGGATGATACTTTTCAAGTCCCTCCATGTCATCTCAAAGGATAAGAGATCATTTTTTCTTACATCTGCGTAGTACTCGATTGTGTATATGTACCACTGATTTTTTATCCATTCGTCTATTGATGGACACTTGGGCTGTTTCCAGATCTTAGCTATTGTAAATAGTGCTGCTACAAACATGGGGGTACATATATTCTTTCTGATTGGTGTATCAGGCTTCTTAGGGTATATTCCTAGAAGTGGGATCACTGGGTCAAATGGAAGTTCAATTTTTAATTTTTTGAGGTAACACCATATTGTTTTCCATAGTGGCTGCACCAGTCTGCATTCCCACCAGCAGTGTACTAGAGTCCACTTTTCTCCACACCCTCGCCAACACTTGTTGTTTGATGATTTGTTGATGGCGGCCATTCTTACAGGTGTGAGGTGATACCTCATTGTTGTTTTAATTTGCATCTCTCTGATGATTAGTGATGATGAGCATTTCTTCATATGTCTCTTAGACATTTGTATGTCCAGTATGGAGAGGTGTGTATTTATTTCCTCTGCCCATTTTTAATTGGGTTCTTTCTCTTCATTTTGTGGAGTTGTATGAGCACTCTATATGTATTGGAAATTAACCCCTTATCTGATATATCATTGGCAATTATGCTCTCCCATACAGTGGGTAG